CTCATCCTCATTACGTTTTCGGGACAAAAGTACACGGATACGGCATGGAACATTCCTTATTCCTTTGGCCCAGACGGCTTTATTGAGCCTGGTATCGATGCGCACATCTGGAGTCCCCATCTCCTTCATGGCAGATTTCTGGGTTTCTTGGAGTGTTCTAGGGGCACGCTTCTTGAAGCCCACTCCATGGATGCGCTTGTGAATGTTGGTGGTGTATTCTCGGGTCACCACCTCGTTGATGGCAGAACGGCCCTGCTTCTTCTCGCCACCCTTCTTGGCGGGAGCCATCCTGCGGGGCCCAAGTTGGAAAGGACGGGCGCAAGGGATTGTGGGAAGCAAAGCCAGGTCGCAACTTCCAATAAATCTTACTTGCTTTACCTATCTCTTGTACATTGAAGAGAGGTGTGTGTGTGTGTGTGTGTGTGTGTGTGTGTGTGTGTGTGTGTGTGTGTGTGTGTGTTGGGAATCCAACCTAGGCCTTCACAAATGCTTTCCTATTGAGCCCTACGCCCAGCCCATTAGCCTGAAGCTACAATCACAATGTCTTCTTAGAGACTGAGAAATAAAAGCTTTTTTTGTCTTGTTGAACATTTGGATGGATTTGAATATGCAAACACGGGTCTGGACTTTGGGTTGGAAATGGGCTCCAATAAGCACTACTGTGTTTTATAGAAGGAGCAAGAGTTTGTATCTGAAGGGCTTGACTCGGTGGTAGAACAATGACCCAGCATACACAAGGCCTCAGATTTGATTCCCAGAACCACAATTTAAAAAGCAACAATACTAAAAAGGGAGTTTGGGGCCGGTGAGTTAGCTCAATGGGTAAAAAGCACTTCTTTAATGAGGAGTCAGTGGTTAAGAGTGCACACTGAGCTGGGCGGTGGTGGCACATACCTTTAATCCCAGCACTCGGGAGGCAGAGCCAGGCAGATCTCTGTGAGTTCGAGGCCAGCCTGGGCTACAGAGCGAGATCCAGGACAGGTACCAAAACTACACAGAGAAACCCTGTCTCAAAAAACCAAAAAAAAAGGGAGAGAGAATATGCAATCTCTGGCAGACTGGTGCTAGGTCCAAAGAGGCCCCCCAAATGGCAGAGCTGGGAACAAAGTCCTAAACAGAAGGACTTTGGCTGGGTAAACAGAAGGATTGTTATTCGACAAATAGAGGTCTAAGGTGGGTTTCTGTTTACAGGGAGCCTTCCTTAATACAAACTCAAAGTTCAGCTACCTTGGGCAAGAGAATGTAGCTCCAGGTCAATCCTAAAAGCCTGAATCAGCGCAAAGACTTCCATCCTGCTGACTGTCACAGAAAATCCATCTGACGGTCCGCCATTTTGGTCTTCTCTCTGCTTCCCTCCCATAGCCTTGGCAGTTTGACCTCCAATAAAATAAACCTTTCTTTTTACCCCTGGAGAGGTCCAGTTTGGTGGTTTCACTGAGCCCTGGCTTAAAGCTGGGGACCAGATAGTCTAGGTGGACAGGTCAATCAATGCCCTGACTGAGGGACCACCAGGTAGAATGCCTGTTCACCTTCAGCTCTCCTACAGACACAGGAGCAATAATTAGCCTTGTAATGAGATAATGTGCTTTTCCATCTCATGATTCCTGCCCAATAGTGCCACTCCTACTCAATGCCAGGAGGGTCTGCTGGTTCTGTCCACCTTTCTAGGTCCTGACTCAGGAAGGGGTAACTTTTCCGTTCCCTCCTCTCTCGGCTTTTTCTTTCAGATGCTGGCCACACCTCAGTATGCTTTCTCTGGGCATTTTTTTTTTTTTAAAACTACTTCTCTGCGGCTTGGTGGTGGTACACGCCTTTAATCCCAGCACTCGGGAGGCAGAGGCAGGCGGAACTCTGTGAGTTCGAGGCCAGCCTGGTCTACAGAGTGAGTTCCAGGAAAGGTGCAAAGCTACACAGAGAAACCCTGTCTCGAAAAACCAAACCAAACAAACAAACAAACAACTACTTCTCTAGTGCTCTCCCCCTGTGGGGCTGCTTGTCTGCCTGGTGGCTGACCTCCGTGCCAGCTTAAGGGAGCGGCTGCTAGGATGCAAAGCTTGCCTGCTCTATTAAAGCTCTAAGAAGATTGTCCTTGAGCTTCCTCCTGAGTCTTTTATTCTTTCATTAATGCTGCCAAGGCCAGGTATGCAGGGCGCATGCCCTAAAACTCAGCACTAGAAGTCAGAGGCAGATCTCCATGAGTTTGAGGCCAGCTTGGTTTACATAGCAAGTTCCAGGACATCCAGGGCTATGTAGAGAGACCCTGTCTCAACAAACAACAACAACAACTAATAATAATAATAATACACTTTATCCCCATCTCCCCCACGTGTGGCATTCACATTTATTTTTTGGATTTTGAGGGTAGTGGTGTTGAAGATTGGGACAAGGTCTCAAGGAGCCCAGGAAGGCCTTGAAATCCTGGTCTTCCTGCCTCCGCCTCCCAACTGTACCCAGCTCATTTAATTTCTTCACATTTTTGGAAACGGCAATTTCACCGACTGTGCCAAGTGTTATCTGTCCTTTTGCTGTTGCTGGTGTTCTGTTCTGTTTCTGTTTTTAAGATAAGGTCTCTTCCCGGCTGTTCTTGAATTGACTTTGTAGCCAAGCCTGGCCTCAAATCCTTAGCCTCCTACATCAGCCTTAGATACCCTGGGTCCACTGATGCATACACCTGGCTGTTATCTGTTTTTATTGAATCCACTTCAAGTTTTATTATCTGAAAGGACTTAGCATTGCTTCCCATCACAAACCTTCCTTGTAGGTAAAAATAGCTACGACATTTATGAGATTAAAAAAAATATAAACCTGGCATGATGGTGATCCTGTAATCCCAGCCCCTTGGAGTCTTGAGAGGATCCGGAGTTTGAGTCTAGTCTTGGTTACAAACCAAGACCCTGTCTCCGAACACAGACAAACAAACCCCAGAGAGATACAAAACAATAAAGACGTGGGTGAAAATAGGCCCGCCTGGATCCTACAGAAGTAAAGAACAACCCTTAGGACAGCAGCCTCCTCACCTGGGACCTTGGAACTCAGGGGTGGCTGGTCAACAGGATTGGCTGGCTTGGGACCTAACCCCAGAAGAGGGCAACCACGAGCTGCCTGCACTGTTGAGAAAAGCCACAGATGAGTCACGCATGATTATGGGAGGACTCCTTGCCCATCGGGGACAGTCCAATAGAGGCCAGTTTGGGGACTGAGGAAGTCGGACTTGGCTAGAGGAGGAAAGGAAGGTTCGGAGAGGAAGCTAGGCAGCGAGCCAGTGAGCAACCCAGGCAGGCTCAATTTCTTAAACTACTGGTGAGTGCCAAGGTGAGGGGACATGTGTACGTGTGTGTGTGTGTGTGTGTGTGTGTGTGTGTGTGTGTGTGTATGTATGTGTCTCTGTGTGTGTCTGTCTGTCTGTATGTCTGTGTCTGTCTGTCTGTATGTCTGTGTCTCTGTGTGTGTGTCCGTGTGTGTTATGTCCATGTGTCTGTGTGTCTGTCCATGTGTGTTTGTGTCCGTGTGTCTGTGTGTCTGTGTCTGTGTGAAATCAGAGGACAACTCACTCACAGGAAAGGTGATTCAACAGTTAAGAAGCTGCTCTCTCAGAGGACCAGGGATCAACCCTCCTCTCCCAAATGGTGGCTCACACTGTCCCTAACTCTACTACCTGGGGATCTGATGCTCTTTTCTGGCCTGTGTAGGCACCAGGCAAGCAACTGGTACACAGACATATGTGCAGGCAAAACACTGATACAAATAAAATAAAAAGTTAAAAAAAAAGGAAAAAGGAAATAGAAAGAAACTAATGCCTGGGACTCCAGTTTCAGGGGATCTGATGCCTTCCTGTGGCTTCCATGGGTACTGGTCATACAAGTGCTGCACAGATGTACATGCAGGCCAAATACCCATACATATAAAATGAAATTAAATTTAAATTAAAAGAAAACCCCCAGGGCAATAAGCTGTAAATCTCAGCAGCTGCTCAAAGGAGGGAGATGGAAATAAGAAAGAGAAATTGGCGTGCCGTCTGAGTTAAGCAAAAATGGAGGTCTGTCGCCTGGAGCACACGCAGTCTCATGGTGGGGAGGAAAGCCTTAGAGAAGGAATAAAGACACCCGCAGCGTTAGGGAAAGCACGCTTAAGCTCTGGCCAGCATCTAGAAGAAAAGGACAGAGGAGAAGAAACAGGAAGAGGTGCTATTTTCCAAGCCAGGACCTAGAAAGACAGACAGATAGACAGACAGACAGGGCAGAAGCTCATGGTGGTTTTGGAGAGATTGCACTGGGGGTGGGGTGGGAATTCTGGGAAAGAAAAGTCCATTATATCATTCAAAGGCTAACTATTGCTCCCATCTCTGTAGCTTAACTTAAGGTGGACCTGACTTCCTGAGAGATGTCCTATGGGACAGGTGACTGACCCGCCAAACTTGATTAATTCTTTTGTTTTTTTTGAGGCAGAGTTTCTGTAATTTTGGTGCCTGTCCTGGATCTCGCTCTGTAGATCAGGCTGGCCCCTCGAAATCACAGAGCTCTACCTGCCTCTGTCTCCCAAGTGTTGGGATTAAAGGTGTGTGCCACCATCGCCCGGCCCTGGATTAATTCTTAAGAGAGGAGACAAGGGCGTGTCACCACAGGCCCAGAGAGATGGGGCCAAGCACCATGGACCAAAGCCTCTGAAACAGCAGTTCGAAATAATCCCTCTCTCTCTTTCTACTGTGTCATAGAGACAGAGACATCAACACACTCTCCAGCCCAGGGTGGGGTATGCCTCGTTCCTTAGGAACTGGATTCGTCCAAGTTTGAAGCCCCACCCTGAAACTACACATGACTCTAGACACTTGATCCACAAATGTAAACCCTGCCCTGGGATGCTCTACCCTCCAGTTTGTGGTCTTCATGGTAACTCCCTATAAGTCTTTTTTTTTTTTTGGTAGTTCTCCAACTTTATTTGACACTCAGCAGCTTAGTTCTCATCCACATAGACTGTAGATTTTTGAATGTGGTTAACAGGTACGTAAGTTACCAATGTGTAGAGCTTGTTTGGTGAGTCCTCATCCTCATTACGTTTTCGGGACAAAAGTACACGGATACGGCATGGAACATTCCTTATTCCTTTGGCCCAGACGGCTTTATTGAGCCTGGTATCGATGCGCACATCTGGAGTCCCCATCTCCTTCATGGCAGATTTCTGGGTTTCTTGGAGTGTTCTAGGGGCACGCTTCTTGAAGCCCACTCCATGGATGCGCTTGTGAATGTTGGTGGTGTATTCTCGGGTCACCACCTCGTTGATGGCAGAACGGCCCTGCTTCTTCTCGCCACCCTTCTTGG